TACTTTTAATTCCAGCTAAACAACTTTTACAACACCGTAAAAAAACAACAACAAAAAAACAAGAGATTTAATAACATTTTACCAAATCAGTTGTAATTCTACATTGTTGGTACTTGTTTAGCACCAATTCTGCCTCTCCTCCAAAACACACTTGCTATAACACTAAATAACTGGTTTTATTTTAGCGCCTGACCAAAACTAGTTTGTCGACTCGGGGCCCAGTAATTACATGAAGCTGAGAGCAAGTGTCCAGATGCAAACAACCTCCTAAATTATTTGTGTAATGTTTTAGACTTTTTTTTTTTTTTCCGATTTTAATACGACTCCCAGAGTAGCACATGAATGAAATGTTCAGTTCGAGATGTTCATAACATGCTTAACTTTTGAAACATTTGCTTTTCTAATTTAGCTTTTCTTTCATTTCATCATCTCATTACATTAAATTATTTAATCTCTTGATGTTAGGCTCACTGAACGATTTTTCAGTAAGTTACAATTTTATTTAGCTTCAATACAGATTTTTATGTTTACTAGATTGCTAGTCATTTACAAGTGAATATTCCCTTGTTGGAGAGAGACTTAAAGTGGATCTGTTAAACTGTGATGTTAAATGCAATGAGGTCTAAAATGTGGGTGCACCTAACGTTTGTGCTGGTCCATCTGAGAAAATAAGTTAGGTACTCTACGGTAATAAGATAAGGGTTTTGTAAAGTACACTCTAAAACATTAATGTGGTTGTCCTTAAGCCACTTTGGCACTAATTTGACAGTAGAGTAATTATCTATTTGGAAAACCTCTTTGTGCTCAAGCTTTAACTTCCTGCATAAAATCCTGAAATGTTGCTTCAAATGTTCTTCATACTTTTGTTTTCTCATTATGGAAACAATTCGACGAAGTTAACCAGTTTTGTCCTGCAGCAAAACAACCCCGATGGTGTCAGTTAGAAGAAAGGAATTAACTTAAAGTTAAGGTCTGTAAAACAAGTAGTTTAACAGCAGTTCTGCCCCAAGGCTACACTACGCTACAGCAAAGTGGCACAAATAGACACTCCTACAAATGAATAGGCCAACGTCTGTGGCAAGAAGAATGGATAGATCAAGTTAATTTCATCAATTCTCCCTCTCCCACTAGTCTAATATTACATTGCCTCTTCCTCCAGGCCTTCCTTTCGGCATCGCTGCCTCTCATCTTCCTTCTCTCCTCTTGTCGCATACTAATGAGAAGGCTTTGTGCAGCATGCCACAAAGTGCAGCTTCTGACACAACACATACATCACTGTGAGAGCTGCGAGCTGGTCAGCACCATTCAGATGCCTCGGCTGTGGAACAAAAGCAGGGCTTTTTCCGAAAGCCATCACACGCGTTACATGGCAAGTAAGACACCTCAAAAACGGGGCACAAAAAAAAAAGAAAGGGCCACAACAAAAGTCCGGCATGTGAGCCTGATGGATGAAGAGATTATGAAACTACAATGGGCACTACTTGATTAAAGTCAATGTTATTTGTTTTCTTTCTTTTTTTTTTTTTTAGGAATTTCTTCCCATTTCTGTTTTGACATTCACTACACTTTCAAACAGCATAGAAGTTTCTTTGAAATTCCTATGTGGGTTAGAAAACTTTAATGTAAACACAAAAGATTCATTCTGAGTTAAATCTGTACAGAAACATGGAAACAAGGACTCAAAAAACAAAAACCTGATTAAAAAAGGGGTTTGCTGCATCTTAAAAAAAAAAAATGAATCACCAATGTTGTTTTTGTCTGCCTTCAAATTAGTCAGACAGCCTTGCAACTTCAGTTCGTTGATATACTTATATTTTCCACTAACTTAACTAGTGAGAGATCATATGTACCTCAATGAAAAAAAGATTACTCATACACAGAGTTTTAAAAAAATGATTTTCTAAATGTTTTAAAAATACAAATCACAAAAATTACAACACATTTCTATTCAACCTGCCCGAGTCAGTACTTTGTAAAACTATGTTTCATGCAAATTCGGTTGTTAATCTTTTGGTTTACGTTTCAACAGTTTTGTATATCTAGCTGCTGAAATTGTTGCTCATGCTTATCACAGAAAAGCTTAAGCTCAGCCAGACTGGATAAACAGCATCTGTCAACATCAATATTCAAATCTTGCCACAGATTCTCATTTGAATATAGGTCTGGACGTTTTAGTCATTCTAACATAAACATTTGTTCTTATCTAAAGCAATTTTTGTGTAGAAATGGCTGCATGGGGTTATAATCCTGCTGAAAAGTGACTCTCTTCCCCACTCATGTTTTTTTGCTAAGCTGAACAGGTCTTCCTACTGGACCGCAATGGCTTCACCTACATGTTTTTTCCATCAACTATAACCGACTTCCTTTCCCCTGCTGACAACAGACGCCCACATAGCAAGATTTGTAATTTACAGTGAGTGAGTGATTAAAAACTGACCAACAGTGTCAAGTTTTTAATTAGATCTTTTGTCTTGCATGACTGAAGGCATTTGAAATAACAACGTTCCCTATTGATGTGGCCACGTATCGTTACAGCAGGAGACCTTAATGTTAATGTACATCTGCTGAATAATAATTGCATTTTAGAGTCTGACCTATAAGAAAAATCAAAACATGCCTTAAATTGAGTACATGCTATCTTACATCGGTAATAAAGCTGGTGTTTATACTGACTTTTGTCTCAACTCTTGTTCCCAATAATCTCACCAGTTCAAAAGCCCATCGAAGCATTTGAACTAACGAGAATCAAGAAGCACAAAGTTCCTCTCTAGCGTTTCTATGTTGCTAGCTCTTTTACAGGACGTCAGCTGGTAAGAAGCAGGAGTTTGATTGGTTGGAGAAAATCAAAGTAATTTAGAGAAGAATAAAATGACTTGTAAATTATATGTTTTCTTGACGCTTTATAATTGATCAATTGTTAATTTTGACATTATTTATGAAAAAGTTAAACTTTTGTTTCTCTTCTTCCTGAGACTGAGGCGATTGGCCAATTTGACTTGACAGGGCGTGATCTGACAGTATACATGTGGATGCCATTTAGAAAGCTGCTGCTTTTTTTGACATCTTGGAAAACAAACTGGCTTTTTTCAGCAAAGTCAGAGCGATGATTCCCTGTTTTCCACACTACACCTCTCATTGTAAGAACATTCAGCCTAAGTACAAGGAATGTCCCAATTAAGATGTCCTATTGCTGATCGGATCTGAGCCACTGAAGTTTTTATCTTTGTATTAAGCATCTCCTCTTCTGCTCTGCAAGCTCTGCTACACGAGATCCATGCACCTCAGTGTGATGCAGAGCTACACAATGAAAAATTGATCCTATTAGCAGCAGCTGGGTAATAACACTGAGCAACCATGTGAGCTCAAAGTTTCTGCAGTAAAGCCAATTAAAGTTCACATCAGAGACCATACCTCCTAAAATAATTGCAAACTTATGCTAGAATGCCTGTGCAGCAGGATGCTGGATATGTGGTTGGACAGCACAGGGGTTGCCCTTACTCAAACACTTCTACAGGAAAGGTAAATTCCCAATATTCTCGTGCAGCAATTGGTAGGTCAACCAGGGTGTTGAATTTAATACACACTCTGTATTCCATTTTGCCATTTGCTAGTCCTGTGGAAATGTAGCTCATTTCTTTGAAGTTTCTCCACGGTGTATTGAAGAGGACTTTGGGTTCTAATTATAGCTTCTGAATAAGCTAAAAAAAAAAAAATCAAAATCAAAACAGATCTCAGAAATGTGTTTTAGCAAACCACAGCCCAAGTCAACTGAATGAGCACGATGTATCCTGTCAGTGTTTTTAACATTAGTTGTCTAATTAAATTGGGAGCACTAAACACACTTCTGTCTTTAAAGCACAAAAAGCTCAAACACACAGTGGCTGCCAGTGGCTGTTTTTGAAATACTTTCCCGTAGCAGATGTTAGCATAGCGTGGCTGTGGCAACATCTCCTGCCAACACTCTTTAAAGCAAGCTGCATTAAAGCTCAGCTGGCACAGCAGAGGAGCCGTCAGTACAGGGTGACATCAATCCTGGCCTAAGTGAGCCCCCCCCGTCTAAATACAAGCATCATTTGGGATCAGACGTTTCTAGACATATTCTTAATTTAACATCTGATGTGATGGGCATTTTTATTTATAGAGTCAAATTTAACTGTTGATGTTGCACAAACTATATTTTGTCATTTCAATATTAGTGTCCAAGTAAATCAGCAGGGGCAAAAAACAAAAGAAAAAAAAATAGTATATAAAGTCTTTTTTTTCTTGTGTTCTATGGTCTAGAATAAAGTTAATCCACTTGGAATATAAATGTATTGTGGAACAGTGGAATGAGATGTAGCTACAGTGTCTTGCAAAAGACTCCACATTATTGGAAAGTGGAAGGAAACTATTTTTTTCAAAATGTATTACAAATAAAAAATTTGAAAAGTGTGGCGAGCATTTGTTTTCAATTCCCCTGAGTCAAAATGTACTGTATGTCTCTATCAACTTTGCACATCCACAATATGAAATGTTTGGGTATTCTTTGAAAAACATCCGTAAACCTCGAGTGAGATGGAGTCTGAAAAGCAATTCTTAGTTGTTGCTGCCACCATTATGTATTAAAGTAGGTATTGTATTATGTGTTGGGAATACCAGTTTTCCTTCAAATAATTTACATCAGAGTATATATCCAATTCTCTGTCAGAATATCTTGAGTCTGAGTGATTTAAATAGAAATAAACTTGGTAAAGGCCAGTTATCTGGACAGGACATAACCAAGGTTTTGTTGTCTCCGTCAATGGATTTTGCTTCATTTTGAAATGATACTGAATTAGCTTATAATTTTTGTGATAAATACAAAACAAGTCAAAATTTCAGTGTCTGCTAAAGATTCCTCTTAGCTGCAAACTAGGTTGCGGCTTAATAATTCATAAACATTTTGTTGACTATGATGCATTCTGCTTTGTTGCTAAGCAGGCCAGAGCAAATTAAAATTAAAAGTTTAGTTACAAAATTACCTTGTCTGCATCCACTTTGCCTCGTATGAACTCCATCCTCCAGAACTGCAGCGCCTGCTCCAAAGAGAGGCCGATGCCTTTGAGGAAGAGACCGTACTGCATTCTGCCTCCGTGGCGGAGATGGTGCTGGTCTCTGAGCGCCTGGTGGAGCTGCCTCATACAGAGCGGGAAGGACTTCCCTGCAAGCTGAAAACACTCGACTTTTAATGATGGACAAAAAAATCTCCATAAAAAGTCACACGATAAAAAATTACTAACTTTGTTTTACACATGTATAATAAACAAAGCATGCTTATGAACGTCCCATTAATCACACTCAGGGACCACTTTCCAGTATATTTTAGAGGTTTCCCTGTTTCAGCACACCTGACTGAAAATAAATGGGTTGTTAACAACCTTCTACTGGAACTTAATGACATGCTGAGGAGGTAATTTAATCATCTAAATATGGTCTGTTGAAGCAAGAAAACATCTAAAACATGTAGCACAGTTAGAGCAGAGGGCCTGGATTAAGGTATGAAACGGTACTCATCGCATCACTAAGAAGAAAATACCTTCTTGCTAAATCAAACATTAAGTACAGTGAGGCTCTTGGTCATTTTTTTTGGCTAAAACAAGGAACTGTGAACTTTCTGTATTTTTCTCCAGGCACTTTAATATGTCACCACTAAGTGACAAGATATTCTATAAGCATCCCATTTTTACCTTTTATCTTCTAATAAATAAAACCTGGCATTCTAATCAGACGTGATCAGAAAGACTTACTGAATCGATCTGCTCCAAGGAGATTTTCCCAACATTTTTTTGGACGCTGTAATCCTGTCCCAAATAGGAATGGCTGAAATAAGACAATAAAGCATCAGGTCTGTTTTTCTCAAATAAATACAGTTGCCATTAGAACTCAAAGTAGCATAAAATCTGTTTATGGTGGTTGAGACCATACAGCCTTTTCTGATCTCCTTCCAAACCCAATTAAGGCCAGTGCTGAGCCAGAGTCCAAAATGATTGGGCAGCAAATCATATAATATTCTGCCCACTATAAAGATTACTGACATAGCTATTTATCTCAACAACCTATCCACTAATCCCCAACACCACTCTGGGATAATCCCTTCTTCCACCGGTGTATTTGGGTTTTTACTTTTAAGGCAAAAATAAACACCTTCAGCTGTTTTACTAAAACAAAGATAAACTCTCCTGCTATTTTGCAAGGATATTTCATTATTTCCTGCTACTAAATCTAGATTGAAATAGCCAAAAATTGCACACAGCTTTAATAAAATTGAGCCACATGTAGTTAACTGTAGCTTTCCAAAGCCCATTTACGATTACAAGCATCGTTAGGTAATACACCGGCTGTTTTAAAACAGACAATATGATGTTCAACTAATGTTATTATATTAGTACTGATGCATCATTTGGAAAAAAACATCAGTGTGACAAAAAGAAATCCCCTTTAATTCAGGAAAATATAATCAAACCAGATTACGAGGTTGACTCAGACATTCAACACAGGACACAAATTCAAAATAAATTCTGCAGAATTTGACTAAGATCAAAATTGTTCTTTTAAATTGATCAAACTGCAAATTGTGTCCGTTAGTGACAACAAATGTATGTTCGCACATTTGCTATAAGGAATATTCCATAAAACGATCTGGTGAACACATTTAGACAGAGTTCAGCTTCACTAGCATGACTGCTAACTGGACAATTGGACACTCAAACACCTGACCTTCATCAGTCAGTAAACACACCATACCTAACAGTAAACTGGTCAACATCACTCTTCAGCGTTGATGTTGCTATTTAAGGTAATAGTAGCCGTTTTACTGGGGTGTTTAAAGAACAAAGTTGGAGTAAACAACAGGTGTAAGTGCCTATTTAACATTTAATTTTCTATGCAGAGTCTGGTAATAACAGAAAAGTTAAATGGAGTTAGCATTTTATCAATTTGAGCTTTCAACTTCTGTCATGAAAGGTAAAGGGTCTATATTCTCTAAGGAAAACACAGAGGTTGTGCGTGGTTAACAATGAGTGCAATAGACATATGTCATCTGTGCAATTATTTAGATCTGTGATGTTTACTCCAGTGATCAAAAATAAGTCACACAGAAAGTTCTGACTTTCTGTCCATTAAAGACACAGTTTTAGATTCAAGCCGCGATAAAAGTTGGAATTAAAGCGGTCTATGAAAACCAAAACTTTGGAGATCAGAGTTCAAGATGATTCAATATTCTTTTCTTAATCAGCTGTCAAAATGACAAAAAATAATTACTACTGTAATTTTTGAAGAGTTTCCCTGATTATAAGTCATGACAAATGCTGACAGTTTCTTTGACAACTAACTGACCACATGACAACATCACAGCTCTGGGGTGTCTGTTATCAGGAATATAAAACTGTGCATTTGCAGAAACAAGTGAAAATAAAATATCATGCAGCATCGCACCCCAATGGTGATGAAGAATTACATCAGTAAATGACAGATTTACTCAACAACACTTCAAGAGCACATTTGATGTTCATTCGTGACAATATTCTTTTTCCAACAAGAAAAGCAACAAAGTTTTTAATCCTACTGCTTACCTGAGGTGGTTAAGAAGCGGTTGGAGACGCTCATCAGAATGCACCGCTGGTAGGGAGCGGGCTGTCAACTGCAGAAAAGATGGGCATCACATGAATAATGTCTTGGTCAAAGGATTAGGAAAACCTAAGGCTGCAGATCAGTACAACCAAACTGCTTAAAGGCATTTCCACTGAAAACTTGAGACAACATCTTTTAATTATAGCCCCAGTGTTTCTCAGCTTTTTTTTTTTTAATTTAAACTGAATAAAAACATTTCTTAAAATGGGCAATGCCTTCATTGAATGAACCTGATTGTAGTTCTAACTCTTTTAGAAGGTAATCTTATTTGTTTACCAGACAGAACGTGTTTTAGCTGATGCGATTAGCAATTGCAATATTTAAAACAAAGATCATTCACACAAAGCTTGTGTGGTGGGGACCAGACAGTTATCTTGGGAGTGTGAAAGACTTTAAAGTGCAAATAGATGTAAAACCCATACCATCTTTAAAACATCTGTACCACATAAAATAACTGTCAAATGATGTCTGACAACTTCTGACTATTTCTGGTTTTGGTATTCAAATGCTGCTTTAGCCTCAGAACAAACCAGCTCAGTTTGATTTCAAAGCAAACCTTCACTACTCAAATAAAACAATGGTGTAAATACATCTTTTGTTCAGAGCGGGTTTTTTTTTTTTTTTTGTATGTTATGCATTTTCCAAAATTTACTTTTGTTGTTGTGAGTGGAAGAAAATACCCAACACAGAAACACAATAGCAGATTTCCAGAAAAGTTCAAATAATTTGGGACAATTATTCCATTTCAGCAGTTAGCGATCCAGATAATTACTTGGAAATGGAAGAATGGCTAAACCAAGCTGCTCTTTGTTTTTTGTTCTTTTTTTCCATTTGCATTAGCTTGTGCTTTCTGTCCTTTGATTGTGGACTTGTGCTTTGATAAACCAGAATCAAATACATCAGGCTCACTTTGCCAACAATAGGACATCTGCACCTAAAAGTGTGTTAGATTGAGGAGGAAGCAAAGAATTGATTTAGTTTTTTTTTTTTTTACTTTCAGACAAAAAGCACAGCCTGTGAAAGCTCTCATGCTTTGTTACTCAGCAGGCACCAACATAAGAAGTTATTTTTTAACCATCATCTGAAATCACACTTCTATAAATCAGGTGATCATATAGTTCACTTTGCCAGGAGTTTTAAATGAGTTTAAGCTGCAAAAAGTCATTTTAGATTATGTTCTGAGCAGAATCCAATGTTTGCACTACATGATAAAATACTGATTGAAGGAGGTTTCTGAACAGAGCATAATGCTAATAAAAAACTGGATTTTTGGTTATGTTGCATTTCTTGTGCACAGAAAATAAACTTTTAAGACAGACTAAAATGATAAATGAGAACTACTGGATTTCATTTTGCTTAGCCATGACGCATTGAATTAAATTAGTTCAGATTTGGTTAGGAGACCTAAACCTCTGAGTCACTGTCCATTAATTATAATTAGAGTTTTGAGGTTAGACGTCTTTGTTAACAAATAAATCCAGGGCATAATAGCATTACATAGAGACATAAAAAAATAAGTACCACCATGATGATAATGAAATTAATGATGTAGCACTATGACATCAACATGCTTTCTTAAGGCTCATTGCTTTGGTGCAATGTGGATGCCTGGAACTGGTGTAACGGGTATGGATGCCTTCACATAGAAACTGCTTTCAGATTTAAAATGTCACTCCAATCAGCTGCTGGTAGTGACAACTAATCCATCTGTGAGGCATCCTGAGAGTCAAGTGATCTTTATAATGACTGTCAGTTGCCCTGGCAACTGCCTGATAACAACAATGTTCTCCTCGTGCCCTCACAGCAGTGGCCATTACAGCCATCCCAGCTCTTTGTGAACTGGACCATTTTTATGAGGTACTTAACTTTTTATTTCACAATGAATGTGAACATTAACACCATCTCTGACATTAAGTCCCAGAATGTACCCCGCTTCTTGGGATGAGCCAATGACATTAGGCCATCAAAATCAACAAAAGCTACAATATCATACCTTAGATACCTACACCAGGAATCAAAGTCAGCCAAATTTCCCACAAGTGGCTCTAATCAATTATCAAATTAGGGCTGCAACTAACAATTATTTTGGTAACTAATTGTTCTATTGATTATTCTGACAACAGCATACAAAACTGTCACATTCTTCAAATTTTTCATTTAAGCACTTCAAAAAAAAATACAAATAATTACATTCCTTTGTTTTAAAATAAGAATATATATATTTTGTTGCCTAAAAAACAGCATGTAGCAAATAATTACACCAAAAAGTGAAAAGCTCAGGGCTTTCTGTTTGACTTATCAATATAGTGTATGGCTAATCTGTTAATTATTTTATTTTTTCACAAAATGTGCGTAATAGTTTTTTTTTTTATTATTATTTATTTTCTTATTACATCATTTGAACAGGTGAAGCAAAACCTTTGCCACTCCAGTTCTGGGTAGAAAGTTTTTACACAAAGGGTATTTTTTTTATTTTAAATAAAAATGTGTATATTTTGTACACTTTTGATTTAATTACTGCTCGGAACATGGTCTTCTTGTGAGTCTGTATGTTCCAGACGATGATTAGTCCATTTCTAAATTAGTTGACAATTATTTGAATAATTGATTCATCATGATTAATCTAACTGATTGTTTCAGCCCAACATCAAACACATAAAAAATTGGAATGAAAGGTGGGTCCTACGCAAGTCCATCCATCAAAACTAAGAATATTCACAATTTCTCCAACAAAATTCAGGCAAAGTTTAGGGACACAAGTTTCGATGTATTCATGAGGAAGAAATCACAAAGTTCCCCAATTTTCTATAACATCACAAACTACTACCTCAATCAAAGAACATGCAGTACCTTCTTTCTCTTTTGTGTTCTAACCTGGAATCAGTCAGAACTCAATTTGGCAGGTCAGACTTTTGAAGAAAACTGAAATCTGTCTCGGCCAAGAAAAGTCTAAACGTGGATTTGTTAATACTTCTGTCACTTCCTCCAATAGAAAGTCTCTTCAGATCAGCTGTGAAGCATCTAATCTACAGAGGTTGTGTTTCATTTATCATACCAAACTACTGACTTTGGCTGCTAAATGAAGCTGTTGCCTGATCTGCAGGCTGGATTCCTCCCCAGCACAGAACTGCAGTTGTCACCTCGCATGAATAACAAGGAATGCCTCTGGTTCCAAAAAAGCTGCACTTCTACTCCCTCAGGTTATTAAGAGCAAAACATGAGCCCCTAGATGCTGCACAACCATGGACCACCCCAACCCCTGCTACGCCTAAAAAAAAAAACAAAAAAAAAAAACATCAGGCCTGCAGGGACAATAAGCTTTTTCCTACTAGCTGTTGCCAGTCTTCCCTCCAGACATTTAATGTCATGTGTGCACACTAATTCTTCTCATTTAAACGCCGCATTTCTCCAATTTCCCTCAAGGCAACAAAGTCAACAGATGCAATTTACCAATCTGCCTCATGAAGTCAAGCTTTTAGTAAACAATGTGCATTAAAATAAACTACATGTGCTCAAACAAGCACTTGAACTTGTAGTGCAGTGAGTGTTCTTAACGCCATAAGAAATGTGTGCTCTTGCGCTTTTCTGACATTTGATTTGCGGGACTGCAACGTTACAGCCTTTCAATCATTTTGTGTGGTTTAAATACAAAACATCCATCAGTACTTACTGCAAGAGCTTTAGAAAGCCTCGTGCGGAAATCGTTGAGAACAATGGTGACGATTTCGTTGTGAGGGATGTATGCATAGCCTTCTTTGAGGTACACTTTTCTTGTCCGCACCAGGTCGAGAGCATCTTGAAAAGGAACCTTTAAAGAACACATATTTGATTAATAGCAAAATCTGACTCGAAAGTGCATCGCAACCACCTAAAATGAAATAATTTATACAAAAATACCCAGGATTAAAGGGATTTGGGGATTGACAGAGTGCTGTTTACTTGAAGATTTACACAAATTTCAGAGCTGTTAGGGAGAATGATTTACATTCTACTCAATGGAATGTAAATTAGAGTCAATTAGCAGGCCAAGGCAACTTGCCCACTTTGTGTTCATGTTCTGAACTGACTGCAGATTGAAATGCACTCAGATATTACAATTTTTCTTTTTACTATGTCAACTATAAGTTATAATTTTATACTTCAACCGGTTCTACACATTATGAATGTGGTTGCCAATGACCTTTTTTTTTTTAATTCATCTAAATTTACATTTAGCCTCAATGTGGTGTTGACAATTAAATCCCCACTTCTTTATGAGTTTCCTAACAGAAAACCTGTGGGGGATTTACTCAAAGCCAAAGCATTTGGAGCTGTTCAGTACGTCTCTTGGGGTTCATTTGGTAATTTTATTACATGCCAAACACTTTTGGGAATTATGGGCTAAAATGTAAAGTAACGCTTCGTCAGACCATAACACATTATTCCAGATGGTTTTGGGAGGTTTTTGTCAAGTCTTTGGACAAAATATTTCCGTATGTAGCCCCACTTCATAGTCAAAACAGATATAGAACAAAACCAGTTGTTTGACAAAAAACTCTGAACATATTTAGTCAATTTTCAGAAAAAAACATCTGGTTTGTGTAATGTTGCATTTGTGTCTCTTTTCTCCCGTTATGGATGCTGGTCTTTACAGCATCAAAAATCTTTATACTGAGTCGCACCTTTATGAAATAAGATGAATTTTGACCCATGACTTTAAGTAATGTAAACAATATTTAATTGAAAGCTGTCTGGACATTTGAATCGTATTTCAGATGTCCAGATGAAACAAGGGAAATAAACTTGCTTGTTGTGACTTCATCAGACTTACAATAAAACAAAGGTGAATCAACAAGACTGAATGCTGGAACTGAATCAAAAGGTGTTTCAAAACAACATTAGTGTGTGTAAACTCATGGAATTGAGTTATGACACCTTTTTTTTTTTTTCAATTTCCTCCATACCACATGAGTTTGTTTTTCGTTTGAACTGTGCACGATATACAATAATAAAAAAAAAATATCAGGCTTATTTCTTTCCATCACAAGAATGAAAGCCACTGTGCAGAAATGTGTTTCCTTAAAATGTGCATTTATAACTCAAGACTTTAATATTTTTTCTTAAAATACTTACTATAAATGTCCTAAAATGTGTTTTTCCTTTTCTCAGGTTTATGGCATGATTTAAAAATAAAACAATCTGGAGAAATCTCTTTGGTCTGGATGAGACAGAAAGACATTGGAAATTGTGTGTAGTTTCTGGAAAAGCGCGGAACGCAGGTTATTCATATATTAAAACATGCTGAAAGCTGCCACCTACTCAGGTTAAAAGTTCACAAACTGTACAGGAAAAAAATATAGAAATGTGTCCAGTGAACAAGACCTTATTTGGAAATATTGTCCACATGAGACATATTGAATCCTACAACATTCATGTAGAAATTAATTGATATTTATTATAGCGTCTGTTATAATAGGCACATATTAACAGTTGATCACTTTGTACATAAATTCTAGGTGAATACTTGGTGCTTAAAATTGCACTTGTGAAAGTGCAATTAACACCATCATCAGTCTCAATGAAAAGAAATGAGTAACTCACTTTGTAGAAATCCTGTTCCTCCACCTTGACTCCACTGGCAGCAGAGCTGGAGATGGTAAGTTTCTCCCTCAGATTATCCTTCTCCTCAGCACTAATCTGAAAGATTATCAGGAAGTTTCAGCATTCATGGGTTTCAGCTTTAAAGGCTGAACCAGTGTAAATAAACTGACTTTTTTTTTTAATTAGCACACTTCTATCCTCATTTGATGTTACTTGACGTCAAATGAAGTCAAGTAACGTCAAAAGACGTCAAGTGACCTCTTATGCATTTTAGCATTCATCAACATATACACCGTTAATAACATATCTCTCAATTGAGGATTTAGAGACTACATGTACAGACAAAAGGAATGTACATAGTGTTTAGTAAAGTATTTTATTACTTTACAAAGACAAATAATTAAGTCCTTTGTGATTAGGATGCATGAGACATAACTTGCAAAAGTCAAATGTGACAAAACATATTTCCAAAATGCATTACATTTTAATAGCAGTACTTTAAAAAGCTGCAACAACTCCAGCTGAAAGTCAGCCTGTGGATACCATTCAGGGACTCAATGATCAAACTGCCCCACCTAGTGGACAACAAAACACTGTGCAGCCATTATAGAGCGCTCACAACCTACTGCCTGCTCCTCTCGCTTTACAGTCAGAGATTGAATTGGAAACATAAAATACAATATGAAACCCTGAAAGTTAAATCTGTTTGTATTTTTACAATCCTTCCACCTTTTTTCAGTCTCCTTTCAACAAAAACGTTTTGCTATCAGTTTCCTCATTTTGTGTATGTCAGTAACTGAAAGTTTAAAAGTTCTTACAGAGTATCTATTAAACAAATTGCCTTATGTAAGATGAGGATATACTATGTTTTATGGAAATATGCAATAAAACATATTTGATGCAAATCAAATATTTGCTTACAAATCTAACTGTAATACTCTTATTAACCCACAAGCCCTTTTAGCACACCAGCACAAAGATAAAATATTTTACATGAGGTAAAAGGTATTTCAAAGTTCTGAAATATCTAATGTAAAGAGTGTATTTACTAAAATGGAAACAAATACAAACACTTACTGTATTGTACTGGAGATTATTCTTGTGGAGAAATTCTAGTTTTTCACCACCATCCAGTTTTCTAAAGCGGTATTTGAAGAGATCGACTTCCTGTTGAATAAACCAGCGTCTCAGATCTTCCCTGCAACATCAATGGAAAAAGTGTTAGCTGCATTGTAACTTCTCTATGTACAAGATAATTAAAGTCAACTTACGTTTGACAGTAGGCCAGTCTCAGAATGAAGTGCGAAATGTGGTCTTTTCTGCGTTTTTCGGTCTGGTCCTTAGCGTCCTTAAGTTAGATAACAGATCATTTATCAACCCATTAAAATACAGGTTCTGACATGACAAGAAAAGAGGGCTGCACAGTTGGTAGAGCTGTTGCCTTGCAGCGAGAAGGTTCCCAGCCCCGGTCTTTCTGCATGGAGTTTACATGTTCTCCCTGTGCATGCGTGGGTTTTCAAGTCCCTTTTATATCCACAATCCCTAAAGCTTCCTCTGATAGCACATATAGTCTATGGTCTCAGCAGATGATCGTGATAAAATTCTCAAATTATCTGAAGGGGGGTTAACTGCAGAACAGTGCCAAAGAAGTCTGTGGTTTAAGAGTAGCTTAACAAAGGAATGCTACGATTGTACATACCTGGATGTATATGTGCTTTAGAAGCACATCTTGCTACAGTCCAAACCTTGTGAATTTCTCCTCAACTGTTGAATCAGTTTTGCTTCACAATTTTGTCAATGCTGCAGTTATCCAGATGGCGTGTGCATCTACCACTACCACTCACCTTTTCATTAATATAACATCTTACAGTACTCTGAAACAGCCAACTCTGGCTTACTCTACTTGTGGAGGGTGTCATAACTGTCTTCTGGTCAATATCAAGTTGCATTTTGCCCTGTGATTGTGTAGGTAGTAACATGACATTTCTGCATTAAAAATCTAATTTTAAATTTTTCTTCAAATATTTTCATTTTCTGGTGACATAAATATAGGCTTGAAATATGATGCACCGGTAAAGTAACAAAAAAAAATGTTATTTTCACTGAATTACTGACATAAATCATTTCAATTATATACCAATATGTTCAAATGCATCTAAATGGTGTTTCATTATATTCACACCAACCTGTGGAAAGTTCAGCGTTCTAATCTCATTATCGAGTTTTTTCAAGTAGTCATCATTTAGTTTCACATAGCTGACTCCCAAATTCTCCACAGTCTTCAGCACTGCAGTAGAATTAAGGAAAGAAAATACATATGGAAGCACATTAAAATTAAGACACATACAGACAAGTAAACAACACCTGTTACAAAAAAAATATCTGTTTAAATAGAGAATAAAGAGATTACAGTGAGTCTTACATTTCAGTCTATCAACAGCAAAACTCTCAAATTCAGAGAGGGAGATGTTTTCCAGTGGAGGTTGTGCGTAGAACTGCAGAGGCTGTGAATAGAGCTCAGCCTTGAGGTCAGTAACAGCCCTGGGTTTTTTGCTAGAAAACTGCATGGTGCCTAGTGGTTACATAAACAAATTATCCGAAATATGCAGATACAAAACAAGCTGAGTCGTCAAGTTTTTACAATTAGAATAACACATTTTTTTTACTCTATGTGCACACATTGATGCACCAATGTCTGTATAAAAAAAAAGAAAAAAAAAGAAACCTTGTGTAAAATGTTTAAACACCACATAGTCAATTTTATACCGTATACAGAAGAAGAGAACTGAATAAAAGTACGATACATAGCATAGCTATTACCAGCTCGAACATACGTGCCAGCTGATCGCAGTTTTTTTTATATACAAAATGCGAGAATTGTTATATTTACATTGCAAAACGTTGTCAGCTAGAGCCTCTGCTTTCAATTCACCAGCACTTCAAAAAGCCACCGATGCTAACGACGCTAATAAATGTTACCACGCAATGAGTTGAAGCAAGTATCATTAAATAAGTGCAAATAAACTTTAATATACCCGATGTCTAACCTAATAAAAGTCAATCAAACCAACACATTCACCAACGTTGATAAAGTCTCTTGTGACAAACACAAATAAATTCTCAATAAAACTACTTTCCCGTCGAACAGTCTGAAAGCTAGCATGTGACATTTAATGGAGACATAAACGAATTAGCTCAAAACGAATAGTACAAACAACAGTAATACAAATATTTTCTATAACGTTACCAACAAGACGAGGAAGCAGGCTCTGCAGCGTCCAATCCCGCCAAATAAAAGTGGACTGTTCAACAGACGCGGCTAAACTGTGACGTAGCAGGAAGAGAAACGCTTACGTATAAAGTGAGCGCTCGTTTTGTCACTCCAACTGATACCGACACATAAAAAAAATAAAATAAATAAATAAAAATAATAATAAAACACCGAAACGCAACATGAAAAGTGACAAAGTTCTGTTACATAATCGAAAAATATCAAACACTTTATTACGTAAAACATTTTGTTTAAACTACTGTCTAGGTTAAAGAAAAACATGGTCACATGTAACCTTTGCTGTCCTTTTAATTAGTGCAGAAAAGAGTGTTATAAGGCCAGGTGGGAGCATAATCGCATTAAAAACAAACAAACAGATAAATAAATAAATAAATAAGTTTCCACTGTAAAATGCTATTACAAGTAAAGAAACATATTACACAAACTTGATGTATTCATGTCAAAAATAAATAAATACCCGATGTCTAACCTAATATATATAATTATTTTATTATCTCACAATGTTTTAAATTTTATGTTTAATTCTTCATGCAATGCCAATGCCTAACTGTGCACTTTTGCATGTCACTAATATTAAAACTATTTATTCCACTGTTAGAAAGCCTGTTTATTTCCACTTGAATTAAATAGTTAGGATGAGCACATCTTCTATAATCCCCTTTCTGGAGATAATCTGTAGTGTCCCACAGCATCCCACTCCCTCCACCAAAAGCTGTTTGTCATTAGAAGATTTAGTAAGTTTTTAAAACGCACTACCCACACAAATGCATTTTCTATCTATCTATCTATCTATCTATCTATCTATCTATCTATCTATCTATCTATCTATCTATCTATCTATCTATCTATCTATCTATCTATCTAATTGGACGATTCTTGCCCACAATGAGAAAAGTAAAATTTCTTCTTATGTTGTTCTATTGCAGTTTGTTTTATCTGTCGAATAACTTTCATCGGATAAAAATCTTGAATTATGTGAATGATTTTTGCTTCTTTTGTGCACCCCAGTCGCACCCACCAGTGGCCAACTCTTTGAAAAAGAAGGCGTCCTCGTTTTTATCTTGTGACTAAGTACAGCTAGCCATGCCAATATTCCTTCATTCATCATGTTTAACCAAATAAGCAAGCTTGTACAATGACATATATAACTATATGCTGATTAATATTGGTATATCTTCTTCAAAATATTTCAAACTGTCATGAGTTTGGAACTACAAACGATCCCAAGGCTCCCAAGGAAAGACGCATGTTCCTCCTTTCCTCTCTTGCCTTCTGCACTCTTTGGCTCCGCTGCTTAGCAACAAGCATTCGCGAGCCTCCGCTAGCTTCTCAGCACCAGCGTAGCAAGCTGGACCTTTAGCTTACCAAAGATAGGAATGTTTTTACACACAGTTAATGCAGTGAGAATTCGCCCAGCTTTAGATGCTAAGTAATTATTTTTCGCCACTATAACAGGTGAAATATTTTGTTCTGTTCTCTTGTCAGACAGAAATCGTTAACGCCCAGAGGTTTCTCTCCGAAAAGTGGCTAACCTAGGCAAGGTAACCTTAGCACTGTAGTCTGGCGTCTCCACTGGCTGCGAAGAGGAACAGATCGAGGACGTGGATATGTCATTGTGGGTTAGCTGGCCGGTTAGCTGACCTAATGCTGGTGGAGAAGTTTTAACTGAATCTCACAGGTACGAAATAACCCAGTTGGGTAGTTTCTCGTTTTCCATTCATCCAGACTTGACGCGGCTGCGTCAGTTAGCTTTGAGAAGCAGTTTCTCGGTTTTTCTACACCTCCCTGTCAGCAACAGGTCCTGCCTTGACCAGAAAAGGAGTAAGATGTGGAAGAAAGAAACAGCAACGAATTACTAAAATTTAAGAGTATTAGAAATTCCCACACAACATCTATAGTCATAGTTGCGGAAAACTGAGAGAAGGAGCATAGTTTCATATCACTGAATTGGGATTTTTTTTTTTTTTTTTTTACTGCATTAAAGGATTGCCTTTCAGTCGCCTTAAGGCCTGGAAAAGTAACGGTGAATCTGTGAAGATGTCATTCCTCGTTGCAAAGAGGTGTATTGTCTTTCGCATGTATAATTTAAATGAAGTGTCTGCTATTTTATGTGTACATCTTTTATGCTTGATAAGTAAACCCACTTTGCTGTACACAATGATGTAAAGCACTTTGAAATACCATGCTGCTGAAATGTGCTATACAAATAAAATTTGATTGATGATTGATTGAATGATTTAAAAAAAACAAAAAACAACGTACACCCTCCCTGCTGGGGCGACCACTTTCATCTGTTACTTGAACTTTTAGTATTCTTGCGAGTGAACTCTTCTTTATCAGATAAATTGCTTGATTCGTTCACATTTTGAGTTCACTTTAGTGTAGATTATGTTCGGAGGGAAAAACACTTCAATCCATTCATCCATTGTCTGTGATTTTATCAATTCGGCTTCATCAACTTTGATGACAGTGTTGACTTGCTGCTATGTGCCACCAACTATTTAATGTCAAGATGAAGAGATTATGTTATTTACATCTCCTGTCAGTGGTCAAAACGTTATGCCTGACTGCTAAAGGTAGACATTACTTGCCACACAGTTTATATGACATATTTCATAACTTGAAGTTATTAAAGTTTTAAATAATGCTTGTAAGTTAAGCTAATGTCCAAACAATATTACACTAAGATATGAGACTGCAAATATCCGGGTTCTCAAATATTACTGACTCCAGGAGATTAGCCTGCTTTATTTTTAACTGTGTTTTGGCTGCATGTTGTGATGCATCATATGCAGCTTAATTATAGCTGATGAATAATAATTTTCCCTACTGAACCAAACTCACTGAGGCTGTTGGACGGCCTTGTCACGCAGCAGGCTGCCAGTGTCCACTGAGAGCAGCTTTGCAACAATATGTTGTTTAGCATTGCACTCTGTCACTGCACACATATACGTGGGGAGGACAGTGTTGCCATGTAGAGCCTGCACTTTTCATCATTAATGGAAGTATAAACATGCTGATGGCTGCTTTAGATGAATTCCCAGTAGAATTTACGACATTTATTTTAGTATTCTAAATAGGGAATTACAGGTCTAAGCTGTTTACTGAGTGAGTGATTATATTGTCGCTGAATTCATCAGATGCAGGTAATAAGAGGCCATGGAAGCCACTGATGTTGGCTTTGATAAATATAGATAAAGTAGTTTTTAAATACTACTTATATGTTAATATGTTTTTATTTGTTTCAGAAATCTTAAGATTCTTTATTGTATGCTTTGTTGTATACTATTTTATACTTGCCTATCAAATGTTTTACCTCATGTTAAAATTAAAATGGAAATAAGATGCAAATAACTTGTGTGCCATTATCTTTCTCAGCAATAATATTTAGAAAGATGTCAATATTTAAAATTTTGATAAAAAAATTATCAGCTTCTTTCTGTAGTGTGGGAATATAAAATTAGTTTATATATATATATATATATATATATATAAATATATATATATATATATATATATATATATTGAGTAAATGTATTTCTTGATCATGTTATCCCTTACACACATAGGCCAGGAGTTTAAACATTGACAAAATCTCCAGTTTGGGCGGGGCCACTGTGTTTTGCTCCGTTTGTTTGTTTGTTTTTTTTCCCGATTATTTCGGGTAGCTGCCATTTCAGCTACAGATAATTAGAAATACTTTTCAAGAATCTAGACACACTACAGATTTCTGATTGTCATTAATTTTTTATCCAAAAAAAAATTATATTTTGGATAATATATGGTTTTACCACAAGTACAACTTATTCTCTCAGTTAATATTTGTCTGTAAATATTGTCTTATGCCTTACCGCATAGGCTATACTTGACTGCTCATATCATGTGTTAAAAGCCTACATTCTCCTCAGCGGGGCTCCATATTCTTTGTTATGAGACGTCCCTGTACTTTAGATTATATTAACACCCATAAACGGATGCATACATGTGCTGGGTGGACAAACTACAAAGCTTTGTCAAAAAATTATTAACGGACAACTTGATATTTTACACTTCTTTCCTGTGAGCAGAAAGCAGGATAAAAATAAAAGCCTCCCGGTTTCGTAGAAGCTTTAAAATCGAGTTTTTAGTCTGTCATGCTACTAGCGAGTATAGTAGAAGGCTGACTTTTTCTCATAATCTACCTGGACCATTCCCTCCCCACCCCCAGCTCATGTGTCTTTTTCAAATGTGAATTGCGAATTTAAAGTTAAACTCTCTTGCTGACCATCTACTTGACTTGTACCAGGATGTAACAATGCAATTACTGAGTAACGAGGCATGGACTGGTATGAGGTTCTAACAGTGTGATAACTTTCAGTAAGGAGGTTATCATACTGTTCGTGTCTCAACATTGTTGTTTTGGACGAAAAATGCAAACATATTTAAACATAACATTAAAAAAGCAACAAGGAGGTGTGCTGTGGTGGCTCAGGGGTTAAGCACACCCCACATTCGGAGGCCTTAGTCCTCAACGCAGCTGTCGCAGGTTTGATTCCCGGCCTTGGCAACCTTTGCTGCATGTCTTCCCCCTTCTCTCATTTCCCACCTTCCTGTCAAATAAAGGCCACTAGAGCCAAAAAAAATCTTTAAAAAAAAAAGACAGATCTCTGTAAAAAAAAAAAAAAAACAACAAGTAATTATACTGCTGCTGAAATATTCAAACTTTGCTCATTGTGGTTACTTTGACTGCCATACATCAAGCACAACGATCTGCTAAATCTAGCAGTTTTCAAGTAAACATACATAAGGCAGAAAAATATCTGTTTCTGACACTTTGCTTTTATGCTTTAAGCATAGTAAGTTGATAGCTGTTAATTACTCAGGCTATCTGCTCTGGTTTGCAGTCAGTAGCTTAAAGAAAATGTCACACATAGTTTGGAAACTATCATTTAAAAACACAGATTTTCTATACCTGCTTGTCCCATCTTCAGCTATCATTGGGTGAGAGGTGGGGTCCATCTCAGGCCAATACAGACACACATAGGACAAACAACTACGTACTCACACACACTAAGGACAATT